GCAGCATTTGGGGTTTTTAGGAGTTTTTCCTGCCCGAGGTCGCCCATGGCCGCCGCTGTCGATGTCACCCCCGTGTCGCGCTCCGTGAGCCGGCCCCGCTGGGGACACGCCCGGCCGGGAGCGCCGGGGATCCCCGAGGGGAATCGGGGCTGTCCCGCTTCTCCAAAATCCCCAAATTCCCTCTGCTCCCGTTTCCCGAACCCCCGGCGGCGGCAGAGGGGGAAACCAGTGGGGACAGAGCGGGAGCACTGGGCAGACTGGGAGAGGGGGACCCGGGGCGGATTCTGGATAAATTCTGGATAAAATTAATTCTAGATAAAAATCTCCTTTTTTCCCCCTCCTAATGACGCCTCTGATGTTTTGGGGCTGCCACTGTCCGAGGGGTACAAAGAAAGGCGGGTACACAGCAGGTTCGATCCCATTCCAGACCCCAAATCCCCTTTCCCCACTATCCTGCTTCCAGAGCCTTCGGCACCGCCTGGAACTCCCGAATTCCCTGCCGGGGTGTCCCAGAGCATCCCAGCCGCAGCCGGACCTGATCCCGGCAGCTCCTCTGCCGCACAAATTCCTTTAAAAATCAGAAATCCCCCTAAACCAGCAGCTCCTCTCAGATTTAAGGATTTTCCCTCCTCCACTCCCAGCTCCTTCGGGGGTTTTTGTTTTGCCGAAATCCAGAGAAATGTGGGATTCTGCTTTCCTGGAGCTGGAGGCAGATCCTGCCGGAGGTCGGGATTCCACAGCAGGATAGTGGGGAAAGGGGATTTGGGGTCTGGAATGCTCGAACCTGCTGTGTGCCCGCCTTTCTTTGTGCCCCTCGGGCAGCGGCAGCCCCAAAACATCAGAGGCGTCATTAGGAGGGGGAAAAAAGGAAATTTTTATCCAGAATTCGTGAAACAGCTTAATTAAAAAAAAAAATTAAAAAAGGAAAATAGAAAAAAAAATGGGGGGAATTTATTGAGTTCTCAATAAATATTATGGGAAAATTCATATTAAATTTACCACGTATCAACCTTTACTTTATGAGCTGTCAGCCCTACTCCATCCTGTTCCCAGGGGGTTCCATTCCCGATTTGATCCCTTCCTCTCGCTGGGAACAGAGCCGGATTTGGGTTTGACTTTGCTTTGTTTTCCTCCCTGCCGCAGGGAAATCTCTGCTCGCCCCGCGCTTTGAGGCCGAGGAGGATCCGGGGGAGCCCCGAGAGGCGCCGGGGCAGCGGCAGCGGCGGAGGCCGCGCGTTCTGTTCTCGCAGGCTCAGGTGCTGGAGCTGGAGCGGCGCTTCCAGCGGCAGAAATACCTGTCCGGGCCCGAGCGGGAGCAGCTGGCGGCGCTGCTGCAGCTCAGCCCCACGCAGGTGAAGATCTGGTTCCAGAACCGGCGCTACAAGAGCAAGCGGCAGCGGCAGGAGCGGCGCCCGGCGCCGGCCGTGCCCGCGCTGCCCCCGCGCACGGTGCCGGTGCCGGTGCTGGTGCGGGATGGCGAACCCTGCCCGGGGGGCTCCCGGCCCTTCCCGGCTCCCTGGGCAATCCCGGGCCCTTTTTCCTTCAGTTCCTGCCCCGGCGGCGGCGCTTGCGGGGCGGGGTGCGCGTACCCCGCGGTGTCGCCCGGTGCCACCCCCGGCCGTGCCACCCCCGGCCGTGCCACCCCCGGCGGTGCCACCCCCGGCGGTGCCCAGCGCCAGCGCCCGGCCCTGCCCGCGGCAATCGGCGCCGGGAGCCGGGGCTGAGCGGGGACGGGCACCGGGACAGCGCCCGATGCTCCAGAGCCCGGCCCCGAGCGGGCAGCGGCCACATCCAAGGGATTCCTGCCGGCCCAGAGGATTTCAGCATCCAGATCCAGGGGATTCCTGCCAGCCCAGAGGATTTCAGCATCCAGATCCAGAGGATTCCTGCCAGCCCAGAGGATTTCAGCATCCAGATCCAGAGGATTCCTGCCAGCCCAGAGGATTTCAGCATCCAGATCCAGAGGATTCCTGCCGGCCCAGAGGATTTCAGCATCTGAATCCAGAGGATTCCTGCCAGCCCCAAGGATTTCAGCATCTGAATCCAAAGGATTTTTGAAATCTCAAAGGATTTCAGCAGCCACATCCCAAGGATTCCTGCCACCCCAGAGGATTTCAGCATCCAGATCCAGAGGATTCCCGCCACCCCAGAGGATTTCAGCATCCAGATCCAGAGGATTCCTGCCGGCCCAGAGGATTTCAGCAGCCAAATCCAAAGGATTCCCGCCAGCCCCAAGGATTTCAGCAGCCACATCCCAAGGATTCCTATTATTGACGATATTAATGCTTTCTGTTCCTGTAATTTCTAGATTTATTTTTGAAATCTCAAAGGATTTCACCATCCAAATCCAGAGGATTCCTGCCACCCCAAAGGATTTCAGCAGCCAAATCCAAAGGATTCCTGCCAACCCCAAGGATTTCACCATCCAAATCCAAAGGATTCCTGCCAGCCCGGACAGTGGAACCATCCCTGGAAAGGGAGAAGGGGACGCTGCCCCACAGCCCCACAGCCCCACAGTGACTTCTGGCACGCAGCAATTATAAATTATTTATTATTAAACAATAATTTGGAGTCTGGCCCCTCTCGCTCCCGAGGGATTTGCTCTCCCAGGATGCCACCAGGATTTTTCCTTCCTTAGGATAACGGGAAAACAGGGGCTGTGCACATCCCTGTGCTTTTTTTTTTTATATTATTGACAATATTTAATGCTTTGTGTTCCTGTAATTTCTAGATTTATTTCTGGTTTGTTTTTCTTAATAAGTCTCAGCACAGGTATGGATTTCTGCCTTTATTATTAATATTATTGTTACTATTATTATTATGATTATTTGCAAGTAAAAACTAATCAGTGAAATTGTGGTTTCACTCTCTCGTCATTTCTCACTTTGTATTTTGAATTTTACCATCTGCAATTTGCACTTGAGCATCCAAACCTGAGCCAAAGAAAAATAAAAATCAAATCAAATCGTAATAATCCAGGCAAAAATTACCTTGTAGTCCAAGTTTGGGAATTCCACAGGCTCCTTTTCCTTGCAGTTCACGGGGAATTCCTTTCCCCTACAATTCTATAGGAAAATCCCTTTTACCTGCAATTCCACAGAGAATTCCCTTGTCCCTGCAATTCCACAGGAAATTCATTTTCCCTGAATTCCACAGGTTCCTTTTCCCTGCAGATCCACAGAAATTTCCCTTTTTCCCTGCAATTCCACAGGGAATTCCTTTTCCCTGCAATTCCACAGGAAATTCCCTTTCCCCTGCAGTTCCCCAGGGAATTCCTTTTCCCTGAATTCCACAGGGTCCTTTTCCCTGCAGATCCACAGAAATTTCCCTTTTTCCCTGCAATTCCACAGGGAATTCCTTTTCCCTTCAATTCCACAGGCTCCTTTTCCCTGCAATTCCACTGGAAAATCCCTTTCCCTGCAATTCCACAGGGAATTCCCTTTTCCCTGCAGTTCCACAGGGAATTCCTTTTCCCTGAATTCCACAGGGTCCTTTTTCCTGCAATTCCATTGGGAATTCCCTTTTCCCTGCAATTCCACAGGAAAATCCCTTTTCCCTGCAATTCCATAGGGAACTCCTTTTTTCCCTGCAATTCCACAGGAAATTCCCTTTTCCCTGAAGTTCCACAGGGAATTAATTTTCCCTGCAATTCCACAGGAAAATCCCTTTTCCCTGTAATTCCACAGGGAATTCTCTTCACCCTTGAATTCCCAGGGAATTCCCTTTCCCGTGCCCTGGGAGTCGCTGCTGGCACTGGGACAAGCCCTGGGCTCACCTGAAATCCCCAACAACGCCGCGAGTTTTCCTTGCAGGTCCAGCCACAAATCCCAGGAAACTCCCCCAGATAAAGGCAGAAATAAGGCAGGGAACGGCTTCCCTTAGGAAATAAAGCCTGGAAATGGGAATGGTGAGAGCTGGAGGAGCTCCGGGCAAAGCCCCCAGGGATTGCCGGGATTGCCCAGGGCAGGGCCAGGATTTGGACTCGATGATCCCTTGGGTCCCTCCCAGCTCAGGATATTCCCAATTCCTTCATAACTCTGCCCAAATTCCCTTTCTCTGCCTAACCCCAGGCTGAGCCATTGGAGCTCCCGAGCTTTCCCAAGCGTTCCGTGAGTTTGGGGGGACAATTCCCAAACCAGGGGCTGCGGAAGGAAAAAGGGCTGGGAAAGCCAAGTTTGGGACACGTTCGCTGAAGCGCTGGCGGCTTCGGGCGGCTGTAACCAAACACCTCCCGTAAAATCAACAAAGTCCGCAGGGGATTGGAGGAAATCTTTTGTTTCCCTTTTTAAGGGTAAAAAACCCCAGGCCCGGCTGAAGGGGCTGGGTTCGGGAATTAAAGAAGGCATCAGGGCTGATATTCCCGCAGGAAAAGGGGCTTGGAGGCAGCAGAGCTGCAGGAGGTCACTGATAAATTCTCATTTAGAGATTTAGAGATTTATTTAAATAGAAACTGCCCGCAATTCCCAGGGATTCTGCTCATGAGCATCACCAGAGCTCCCACGGGACCTTCCCCGGAGATGGATTTGCCTTGGGATGGCGCAAGGGGAATTTTTAATCCCGTGTTCCCCACACTGGGGTTGTTTTCCAGCAACCACAAATCAATCAGGTCCTCGGGACAGAATCTGCTCCTGCAGGCGCCTCCCCTCGTGGTTTTTCTTGGGTTTGAGAAGGTTTTGCTCCTTTTGGGTGACCACGACTTTGTTGTTAAAGTTGTTCAGGCTTCTTACATGAATTGAGGGATTAGTCTGAGCTGAAGACTTAAACTTTCAGCCTTTTCCATACCAGGATTTGCCTCTGGAGCTGCTCTGCCTGGCTTTTAAATCATCCCCAGGCTCTCGTTGGAGCAGCTTTGCAAAGCTTTGACATTTCGCCGTTTTCCGACACGCTCTGAGTGCATCAAAGTGGAGGCATTTGAGGAAAACCCTCAAAATAAATGTAAAAACCACCCAACCCTTTTATTTCTGTGCTTTTCCCCCTGAAAGCAGCATTTTCCCGAACAACTCAGGAGTGGAAATCATTCCCATCAGGGAATGACTTGAGGAAAACCCTCAAAATAAATGTAAAAAACCACCCAACCCCTTTATTTCTATGCTTTTCCCCCTGGAAGCAGCATTTTCCCGAAGAGCTCAGGGGTGGAAATCATTCCCATCAGCGAGGGAAGCAGGGCTGGGGTTGGGGTGATGGACGCATCCTCCAAGGATGCTCTTCCAAAAAATCCCAGTCTGGACTCATTTGATCCCAAAATCCGCGTCCCCATCGTCAGGTCCGGGGGGGATCTGTGAGCAGAGAGAGCAGGGGAGGCGCAGAGGGGCGGCTGGGACCCCACAGATCCGCAGGAGGGAGCCCCGAGCAGGAGGGGGAAGGCAGCGCCCGAGCCCGGGGGAGCCGAGCCCCGGCCGAAGGGCGTGGACCGTGCCAGGCGCTCCAATCAGCCCCGGGAGGTTTGGCCCGGCCGGATAAATGCGGGCCCGGGCCGGATAAAGGCGGCGAGCCCCGGGCAGGAGCGGCCGGAGCCGGGCAGGAGCGGCCGGGACGCGGCAGAGCTCGGCCCGCACCCCCCGGCCATGAGCGGCTCCCCCGGGCCAGCCCCGCGGGCCCAGCCCGGCCCCGCACGGCCCCGCAGCTCCTTCCTCATCCAGGACATCCTCTGGGAGCCCGAGCCAGCCCCGGGCAGCGGGAACGCGGAGCTGGGAGCGGCCAGCGAGGAGAGCGGCGCGGGCAGCGCGGCCACGGGAGCGCCCCCCGAGGGTCCCCAGCGCCCCGGAGCCCCGGGGACAGCGACGGGAGCCGAGCCAGGTGACACCGGGGAGCGGGAAGGGCTGGGCTGGGCGGGGAGGGAGCGGGGATGGATCGGGGAGGGAGCGGGGATGGAGCAGGAATGGATCAGGAATGGATCAGGAATGGATCGGGAATGGATTGGGGATGGATCGGGGGATGGATCAGGGAATGGATCGGGGAGGGAGCAGGGATGGAGCAGGAATGGATCAGGGGATGGATTGGGAATGGATCGGGGAGGGAGCGGGGATGGATCAGGGAATGGATCGGAGATGGATCAGGACAGTCTGTGCTTGGGTCAGGGAATTGATCGGAGATGGATCAGGAATGGATCAGGACAGGCTGTGCTTGGATCAGGGATGGATCACAAATGGTTCAGGACAGTCTGTGCTTGGGACAAGGAATGGATCACAAATGGATTGGGAATGGAGCAGGAATGGATCAGGACAGTCTGTGCTTGGGACAAGGAATGGAGCAGGAATGGATCGGGACAGTCTGTGCTTGGGTCAGGGAATTGATCAGAGATGGATCAGGGATAGATCAGGGAATGAACCGGGAATGGATCAGGACAGTCTGTGCTTGGGACAGGGAATGGATCAGGGATGGATCACGAATGGATCAGGACAGGCTGTGCTTGGGTCAGGGAATTGATCGGAGATGGATCAGGGGATGGATCAGGAATGGATCAGGAATGGATCAGGAATGGATCGGGAATGGATTGGGGATGGATCGGGGGATGGATCAGGGAATGGATCGAGGAGGGAGCAGGGATGGAGCAGGAATGGATCAGGGGATGGATCGGGGAAAGGATCAGGGGATGGATCGGGAATGGTTCGGGGATGGATCAGGGATGGTTCGGGGATGGTTCGGGGATGGATTGGGAAGGGAGCCGGGATGGATCAGGGGATGGATCAGGGAATGGATCGGGGATGGAGCAGGAATGGATCGGGACAGTCTGTGCTTGGGTCAGGGAATTGATCGGAGATGGATCAGGGATGGATCAGGAATGGATCGGGAACAGATCAGGACAGTCTGTGCTTGGGACAGGGAATGGATCAGGAATGGATCAGGAATGGATTAGGAACGGCTGTGCTTGGATCAGGAATGGATCACAAATGGATCAGGACAGTCTGTGCTTGGGACAGGGAATGGATCAGCAATGGATTGGGAATGGAGCAGGAATGGCTGTGCTTGGATCAGGAATGGATCAGGACAGTCTGTGCTTCGGTTGGGGATGGATTGGGAATTGCTCAGGAATTGTCTGAGTCTGGGATCGGGAATGGATCAGCAATGGATTGGGAACGGATCAGGAATGGCTGTGCTTGGATCAGGGATGGATCGGGGATGGATCAGAGAATGGATCAGGGATGTCTTATCATGGATCAGGGGATGGATCAGGAATGGGTCAGGAATGGCTGTGCTTGGATCAGGGATGGATCGGGGATGGATCAGAGAATGGATCAGGGATGTCTTAGCAAGGGTCAGGGAATGGATCAGGATCCAGACCTGGAGCTGCTCCCAGATTAAACTGCAGGAATGTCTGAGCTGGAGCAGAGGAGAATAAGGAATTCAGAGACTGAGAACCTTTCTCCAGTGCCCCAAAGGGCTCCAAGCTCAGAATCTGCCTCAAACGTTGCTTAAAAACCCAATTTGATGCATTTCTACAAAAGCTTCAGGAAAAAATCCCTTTGATGCAGATACCAGGAAAGGCACCTTGGGAAGGGGCTGCCCAGAGGGGCAGAAGCAGCGTCCCAAAGTCCCAGTGGGACACAGGATTTTGGGACAAGATTTTTGGGGAGGGGACTCAGCCTTTCCCTGCCCAAACATCCCAGGCCGAGCTCCAACAGCCCCAAATCCCTTTGGGATTCCCCAGTTCCAGCTCTCCTCAGACAGCCCTTCCTGCCAGGGGAATTTTGGCTTTCCAGCCCAATTCTGTGAGCAGAAATTCCTACATAAAAGCTCTGGGATTCCAGGGACAACCAGGATTCGCAAAGTTGGGAATTCAATCCCTTGGTTTTTTCTTGAGCTTCTGTTCACACCTTAAGAAAATAAACGGAGGAATGACCAAAAGCCAAAAGAATTGGCTGATTGCCATTTGGATAACGCTCAAAAAGGGATTAACTCCAGAAATAAATTTATCTGAGGGGTTTTAGCTCTTGTGGGTGAGACTTCCCTGGAGCTCAGCTCCTTCCTGGCTCCTGACTCTGGTGATCCATCGGGAATTAGCTGGAGATCCAAGGCCAGGTCTGAAGTTTGAGCTGTAAAGGGTTAAAACTGCCCCAAAATCTCTTGGCATTGCCTTGGAGCTATGGGATGGGAAAGGCAGGAATTCATTCCCTGCTCTGCCCCTGCACCCTGCCCTGAGCTGCTCCCATTGCCCGTTCCCATGAGGACTGAGGAGCTGGAGGATCCATTTCCTTTGGGAATTCTGATTTTCCCACAGGGAGGATATTCCAAAGCAGGGCTTGATATGAATCCTGCAGCAAAAAATCCTTTGGTGTCATTTTGGACATAACAACAGAACCTTGGGATTGAGGGAGACGTCCACCAGCACTGGAAAATTTCCCTTTTGGGGATTTAATTCCATCCCATCCTATCCTATCCAGAGATTTTATTCCATTCTGTCCTATCCTATTTTATTTGGTGATATTATTCCTATCCTATCCTATTTCATTTGGGGATATTATTGCACCCTATTCTATTTTATTTCGGGATATTTTTCCATCCTATCTTATTTTATTTGGAGATATTTTTCCATCCTATCCTATTTAATTTGAGGATATTATTCAATCCTATCCTATTTTATTTGGGGATATTATTCCTATTCCTATTCCTGCACTGGAAAATATCCCTTTTTGAGGATTTTATTCTATCCTATCTCCACTCTTATCCCTTTTTCCATCCACCCCTTGGATCTCCGTTCCTATGGAATTCTGGAGGATATTAATTAAAACCTGTAATTTAGGAAGACAAAAGCCCTCTATATGACTCTCCCACCATTAAATTAAACCACAGGAAATATGGAAAATTGGAATAGAAAATAGGAATTCTTTTCCTCTCTGTAAGGAGGAAACCCAAGTGATTTTGGTGGGATTTTGTTTCCGAGTGGGGATTTTTGTCCAGGTGGGAATTTTGTCCAATTGGGAATTTTTTTGTCCAGGTGGGAATTTTTGTCCAGGTGGGAATTTTTGTCCAAGTGGGGATTTGTGACCAAGTGAGAATATTTTATCCAAGTGGGAATTTTTGTCCAAGTGGGAATTTTTGTCGAAGTGGAAATTTGTATCCAAGTGGCAATTTGTATCCAAGTGGGAATTTTTGTCCAAATGTCCTATCCTATCCTATCCCAGGTGGGAATTTCTCTCCCAGTGGGAATTTTTGCCCAGCTGGGAATTTTTCTCCCAGTGGGGATTTTTGTCCAGGGGGGGATTTTTATCCAGGTGGGAATTTTTGTCCAAGTGGGAACTTGTATCCAAGTGGGAATTTTTGTCCAGATGTCCTATCCTATCCTATCCTCTCCCAGGTGGGAATTTCTCTCCCAGTGGGGATTTTTGTCCAGATGTCTTGTCCTATCCCATCCTATCCCATCCCATCCTATCCCATCCTATCCCATCCCATCCTATCCCATCCTATCCCATCCCATCCTATCCCATCCTTTCCCATCCTATCCCATCCTATCCCATCCTATCCCATCCCATCCTTTCCCATCCTATCCCATCCTATCCCATCCCATCCTATCCCATCCTATCCTATCCTATCCTATCCTATCCTATCCCATCCCAGGTGGGAATTTCTCCCCCAGTGGGAATTTTTCTCCAGATGTCCTCTCCTCTCCTCTCCTCTCCTCTCCTCTCCTCTCCTCTCCTCTCCTCTCCTCTCCTCTCCTCTCCTCTCCTCTCCTCTCCTCTCCTCTCCTCTCCTCTCCTCTCCCAGGTGGGAATTTCTCTCCCAGTGGGAATTTTTGTCCAGATGTCCTGTCCTGTCCTGTCCTGTCCTGTCCTATCCTATCCTATCCTATCCTATCCTATCCTATCCCATCCCATCCCATCCCATCCCATCCCATCCCATCCTATCCCATCCTATCCCATCCTATTCCATCCTATCCCATCCTATCCCATCCTATCCTATCCTATCCTATCCTATCCTATCCTATCCTATCCTATCCTATCCTATCCTATCCCAGGTGGGAATTTCTCCCCCAGTGGGAATTTTTCTCCAGATATCCTATCCCATCCTGTCCTCTCCTCTCCTCTCCTCTCCTCTCCCAGGTGGGAATTTCTCTCCCAGTGGGAATTTTTGCCCAGCTGGGAATTTGTGTCCGAGCGGGGATTTTTCTCCATGTAGGAATTTTCCCAAGCCGTTCTTTCCCGTTTCTCCCTTCCAGAGGCGCCGCTGGAGCCGTTCCTGCCCGAGCGCGGCCCCGCCGCGGCCCCGCCGCCCCCCAGGCCGGGCAAACGCTCCCGAGCCGCCTTTTCCCACAGCCAGGTGATCGAACTGGAGCGCAAATTCAGCCACCAGAGATACCTGTCAGCCCCGGAGAGAGCGCACCTGGCCCGGCACCTGCAGCTCACCGAGACCCAGGTCAAGATCTGGTTCCAGAACAGGAGGTACAAGACCAAGAGGAAACAGGTGGTGGCCGGGATCAGCCGCTCGGACTCGCGCCAGGAAGCGCCAGAATTCCCGGGAATGTCGCTGCTGGCGCTCAGGGGCGCCTGGCCCTACCTGCCCTGCCTGTACTACGTCAATTCCTGGAGCCCCTCCTGGTAGAAATGGCTTTGTTAGGTGGTTTTTCCTTCAATCCAGAAGGGAGAGATTGCAGTGGCAGCGTTTTGTACACTGAAATAAGTGAAAAAGAGCCCAAAATTTTCATTGCAGAGCCCTGGGAATTCCCAGGGTATTCGTGGCTGCCCCATCCCTGGAAGTGCCCAAATCCAGGCTGGAGCTGAGGGCACCTGGCCCTACCTGCCCTGACTGTACTGCATCAATTCTTGGAGCCCCTCCTGGTAGAAATGGCTTTTTTAGGTGGTTTTTCCTTCAATCCAGAGAGGAGGGATTGCAGTGGCAGCATTCCGTAGTGGCAGCGTGAAATTCTCTTATCCCTAACGCTGAAATAAGTGAAGAAAAGCCCAAATTTTCATTGCAGAGCCCTGGGAATTCCCAGGGAATCCGTGGCTGCTCCATCCCTGGAAGTGCCCAAATCCAGGCTGGAGCTGAGGGCACCTGGCCCTACCTGCCCTGCCTGTACTGCATCAATCCCTGGAGCTTCTCCTGGTAGAAATGGCATTTTTAGGTGGAAAAGGTTTGGTTTTTCATAAATCCAGAGGGGAGGGATTGCAGTGGCAGCATTTTGTAATGGCAGTGTGAAATTGTCTCATCACTAACACTGAAATAACCAAAGAAACAGCCCAAAATTTTAATATCAGTTAATTGAGTGTTTGATTGCAATGCTTTGGGAATTTTGAGGGTATTCGTGGCTGCTCCATCCCTGGAAGTGCCCAAATCCAGGTTGGAACTGAGGGAACCTGGCCTTACCTGCCCTGGGGAATTCCTGGAGCCCCTCCTGGTAGAAATGGCATTTTTAGGTGGAAAATAGAATTTTTTCCCTAAATTTGGGGTGTTTTAACTCTGTGCTGTCCTTCCTCGAGCACATTGAGGGTGGGATTTTCAGTCCCAGCACAAACCGCTAACACTGAAATAACCAAACAAATTTTAATTGCATTTAATTCAGCGTTTGATTGCAACACTCTGGGAATTCCCGTGGCTGCCCCGTCCCTGGCAGGGCCCGGATCCCGTCCGCAGCCGGAGGTGGCCGGTGCCAGCCCGCAGGGACAATGGGGCGGTGACAGACGAGCTTGGCGCATCCGGCTGCTGGCCCTGCCGACAGCAAATCCCCGCCGCAGCTGCACCCTGGGGCTTGCGGTTGTGTTTTCCCAGCCCAAATCACCCGGGATTCCATGGATCAGCCCCGTTCCCAGCGCTGGGGCACCGCAACAGCAACAGGATGATCCCAACAAGTCTTTTTTTTAGGGGGAAATTTCCCATTTGCACTCAGAGAATAGCAAAAATTCAAAATTTCAGAAATTAATTATCCTTAAAGTCTCATCAATTCCATGAGAAAAGGAGATTTCCTTGATTGCTTCCCCTTTTTAGATGGAAAATATCCTTAACATTGGATATTAAGGAGTATTTCCTTAAATATTTCCTGAATACTTCCTTGAATGAATTTTAATGGACTTTCTCAGCTGAAAGTGCATTTTCTCAGCTGGACTAACTCAGCAAACTCTGCTGGAGCAGATTTCATCTCCTGGGATTGAAATCCACCGAGGTTTCTTCCCTGGGAAGCTCCAGGAATGTTCCTGTGATTCCTGCTCTTCCCATGGAAATGAAAATTCCCTCCTGGAGCAGGGAAATGCAGCCAGCAAAGAACGGGAAGGATCTGCCCGGATTTTCCCCTTTTCCACGGGATTTTTTGGGGATTTCTCTTTCATCTGCCGAATCCTCCCAGGCAGGGGAGGCAAAAATTCCAGGGGCAAAATTGCAGGGAAGGGAGGGCAGGGAGTGGAGGACGCCGAACTCAGAGCCGGGAATTTTTCTCTCGCTATCAGAATTTCTGTGCTCTGGAGGCCGAGCCGCGCCTCTGGCATTGGCTCCTTTAGGACAGGAACTTTTTAGAAAAGTAACTTTTCCTATCTCGGGCTCCATTCTTCTGCCACCCTCGGGCAGCCCCCGAGGAGCCCGGGTTCCAGAGGGAAGGACAGAGGGAAGGACAGAGGGAAGGACAGAGGGAAGGACATCTCCTCTCGCTGTTGCAAAATGTTCCCATCCCTGCTCTTATCCACTGGCAACAACAAAAATCCCTTTATTCACCTCCAAATAAAAAAATAAAAATAAAAATCCCTTTATCCCCCCCGAGGGCACCTCCTGCCCAAATCCCGCGGGTGCCGCTCCCAGAGCCTCGGGGCTGCTGGGATCCGGCACGGACCGGGCTTAAACTAAAACCGGCTCGGACACCGAGGTTAAACTAAAACCGGCTCGGACACCGAGATTAAACTAAAACTGCCACGGACACCGAGATTAAACTAAAACTGCCACGGACATCGAGATTAAACTGAAACCGGCTCGGACACCGAGCTTAAACTAAAACTGCCACGGACAGGCACGGACACTGAGCTTAAACTAAAACCGGCTCGGACACCGAGCTAAAACTAAAACTTGCACGGACACCGAGTTTAAACTAAAAACGCCACGGACAGGCACGGACCGGGCTCAAGCTAAAACCGGCTCGGACACCGAGATTAAACTAAAACCGGCTCGGACACCGAGTTTAAGCTAAAACCGGCTCGGACAGGCACGGACACTGAGCTTAAACTAAAACCGGCACGGACACCGAGTCTAAACTAAAACCAGCTTGGACAGGCACGGACACCGAGCTTAAACTAAAACCGGCACGGACAAAGAGTTTAAACCCAGCTCGGACAGGCACGGACACCGAATTTAAGCTAAACCCAGCTTGGACAGGCACGGACACCGAGTCTAAACTAAAACCGGCACGGACAAAGAGTTTAAACTAAAACCAGCTCGGACACCGAGTTTAAGCTAAAACCAGCTCGGAGCATCCCGCACTGCACGGGCTGGGATGGGGACGTTAAACTGGGAGGGGCTGGGATGGGAAAAGGGGATTAAACTGGGAATGAGAGCGGAACTGGAAAATAAATCTAAACTGGAAAATAAATCTAAACTGGAAATTAAATCTAAACTGGAAAATGAGATCTAAACTGGAAATGAGATCGAAACTGGAAATGAGATCTAAGGTGAAAATTAAATCTAAAGTGGAAATGAGATCTGAACTGGAAAAGAGATCCAAAATAAAAATTAGATTTAAACTGAAAAAAATCTAAACTCAAAATAAAGTCTAAACTGAAATTGAGATCTAAACTCAAATGAGATCTAAACCGGAAATGGGAAATAAATCTGAACTGAAAATTAAGTCTAAACTGGGAATGAGATCTGAACAGAAAATTAGAACTAAGCTGGAAATGAGATCTAAACTGGAAATTAGATCTAAAATAAAATTGAGATCTAAATTGAAAAATCTAAGCTGAAAAAAAAATCTAAAATAAAATTGAGATCTAAACTGGAAATGAGACCTAAACTAAAAATGAGGTCTCAACTGAAAATAAAATCTAAACTGAAAATAAAATCTGAACTAAAAATGAGACCTGAACTAAAAATTAGATCAAAACTCAAATTGAGACCTGAACTCAAATGAGCTCTAACCTGGATTTCCTGGGTGTTTTTGGGAAATGTCTCTGTCACAGCTGATTTTTGTTCCTGCTCGGGGTCTGCGAGCCCAGAACTCCTGGTGGTGCTGCAGGTCCCAAAAGCTCTGCCCAGACCCCACAGTTTTATCTGGTTTTATCTCTGGCTAATCTCGGGTTTTATCTCTGGTTTATCTCGGGTTTTATCCTGATTTTATCCCTGGTTTTATCCCTGGTTTATCTCTGGTTTTATTTCTGGTTTTGGCCCCTTTCCCGCTGCTCTGGGACCCTCTGGAATAAAACTGCAGGAGCTGGGCCAGGAATGAGCGGCTGCCGAGGGTTTCTGTCCCGGGTTTGGGGTTTTTATCCTGGCTTTGGGGTTTTTATCCTGGCTTTGGGGTTTTTATCCTGGCTTTGGGGTTTCTGTCCCGGGTTTGGTGTTTTTATCCTGGCTTTGGGGCTTTTATCCTGGGTTTGGGGTTTCTATCCTGGGTTTGGGGTTTCTGTCCCGGGTTTGGGGTTTCTGTCCTGGGTTTGGGGTTTTTATCCTGGCTTTGGGTTTTTTATCCTGGCTTTGGGGTTTTTATCCTGGGTTTGGGGTTTTTATCCTGGCTTTGGGGTTTTTGTCCTGGCTTTGGGGTTTCTGTCCCGGGTTTGGGGTTTTTATCCTGGGTTTGGGGTTTTTATCCTGGGTTTGGGGTTTTTACACTGCAGTTAGGGGTTCTTTCCTGCAGTTGGGGCTTTTATTCCAGGTTTGGGGTTTTTATTCCAGGTTTGGGGTTTCTATCCCTGGTTTGGGGGTTTTGTCCCAGATTTGTGGTTCTTGTCCCAGGTTTGTGGGGTTTTGTCCTGGGTTTGGTGTTTTTATCCCAGGTTTGGGGTTTTTTTCTCCTGGTTTTGGGGTTTCTGTCCCGGGTTTGGGGGTTCTGTCCCAGGTTTGGAGTTTTTGTCGTGGGTTTGGGGTTTTTGTCCTGGGTTTGGGGTTTTTTGTCCTGCCTTTGGGGTTTTTATTCAAGGTTTGGAGGTTTTTGTCCAGGTCTGCGGTTTTTATCATGGGTTTGGGGGTTTTTATCCCAGGCTTGGGGTTTTTGTCCCGGGTTTGGGGTTTTTACCCTGGGGTTGGTGGTTTTATCCTGCCTTTGGGGTTTTATCACAGATTTTGGGGTTTTTGTCCCAGTTTTGGGGTTTTTATCATGCATTTGGGGGTTTTATCCTGGCTTTGGCTTTTTTATCATGGGTTTGGGGATTTTGTCCTGGGTTTGGGGTTTTTATTCCAAGTTTGGGATTCCTTCCGTCCCTGCTCCTGCTGCGAGTGACCCCGAGTGTCGCAGCAGCACCAAAAACTGGGACACAACTCCCTGGAGTGAGGTTTGAGTGAGGAATCACCCCAAAATCCTCATCCATCCCTAGTTTTAGGTGCTCAGCACCCAGTCCTGCCCCATCCCTCCTCCAACCAGGCAAAAATCATCCCTGAGCACCCTGATCCCATTTCCAGCTGATTATTCCCCA